TTTTCAAAGCTTGTGTAATTTCATCTGCAAAGATAGTAATATTCTGTTCCTGCTCCTCAGGCGACTCTTCCTGCGGTTGCTCAGGGTAAAGGAATTCCTCAAAGTACTCCTTCCCATCGCCGAAGAATATCATCATCCTTGGTAAGAGGGTGTCCAGACCTGTCCTTGAAAACTTGTGGACTGCCCTTCCTTTTACCTCGGAGCAGGCGGATGGTGTGCCAGAATACATTTTTTGCCGTGTGGAAATTCGACTCCAATACATCACCGAATTTCTCCCAAGAATCAGCTCTGGCTTTCGCCACTGCTTTCACTGCTCACCTTTCACACGTGAGTAGAAAGCTCTATGCTTCAAAGCTGTATCTTGAATGCAGCCTTCTTCTCTTTAACTGTCAGTTGTACCTCTCGTGTCCACCAGGAGAATCTTTCCGACCTCCAGGCGACAGGTCAACCCGTTTAAATCCGCAGCATTTTGCGGCAGCCTCGAGTATGCCGCTCTTCAAGAGATACCATTCGGTTTCCACATCCGTGATCATCATCGGCATCTGTTCAAACGGTCGTGCGATGTTGTTTGCAAATTTCGCTCTCGTGTCCACCAAAAATTATTTTCCCATTTGATTCTCTGGCTGTTTCTGCCACCAGATCTTCGTATCGTATTCTATTTCTCACAGGACTGTGTGCCAACAACAAGGTGATCGTTTGTTAGCTCTGCGCCTCTTTTAACACGAACATCCATTACTGAGTGTCTTATGTCAGACGATACGATTATCAAATCGATCATCGACTTCTGTGTACAAGCTTCCCGGTAACAGGTGTACTGATGCACTTTTCGATGCTCGAAGAAGGTGTGGGTGTTCATAATGGACAATCCGTTGTTTTCACAAAACCGCAACAACTTCTTGCCGTTATTGTTGAGGTTGCTAGGGCCGTTTTTTCCAATCACTCCGTTCCACTTTTGAGCGTCTACTCCGGCATGCGCATCAAAATCGCCCGTGAGTATGAGGGACTCTGTATTCGGCACTTCGGACAGAGTACACTGCACTTCCTCAAGGAAGGTATCATATTCTCCCTCTAAATTAAGCGCTAAGACCTGTACCAAGGTCAACGCTTTAACCTGTTGTAGCTTCGGTCAGAGGATTGCCCGCTTTCCGCTGTTAGGCTTCCATTCAACGATTCTGCCAGCTAGGTTGGGTTCTATCAGATCGCTAACACCGGCCTCAACGAGCGTTGTCGTTTCGACCCCTGAGTAGATAGCTTTCTCCCGCAGAGGTTCAGAATTCC